CCCCTTTGACTGGACTTAACCTTTACCTTTTACCTACAACAAATATCTGGGTCTCTCCTCGATTTGGCAGGTGGGTAGAAGCAAAACGAATGAAGCAGGAGAGGGAGAATCTTGCGGCAGAGGAAGTTCCAAATTCAAAGAACCCACTGGATTCACATGCTCAGGGCAGAAGAAAGTGGGAAATGTGACTTTTTGACTCCCATTTCCCCCTTGCAAGGTATTGTTTTTCATTTGCCTTCCCATTGCTTTTCTCCATTGCAGGGAAATGAAGGGCTTGGAATCCAGTGGATGCAAAGCTTCCCTTGCCCTCAATCACCACTTAATTTCCATAGCAATCCATGGCTCAAAATGTTGTTTTGCATCCCATCTTTTTTCTCAGACTGGGACGCAAGGTGGCTTGCCACAAACTAAAGGAACACGAGTGAAATACAGAAAGCACAAAAATATATCTAAAAGATCATCATTAAGTATTTAAACTCTAATAGAATAAGAACAAATATCAGGAGCAAAAATCCATTAAAACGCAGATGATAAAAACAGAACTGCACCATTAAAGCCCTTTCCTTAAAAGCAAAGCAAAACGAAACAAAAGTAACGGTGAAGTAAGTCAGACAGTTCCCAAAGGCCCTGTTCGAATAAAATAGTCTTCACCTGCTGGTGGAAGGATTGCAAGGAGGGAGCCAGTCAAGCCTCCCTAGGTAGAGAGTTGCAAAGCCTGGGAGCAGCACCAAGGAGGCCCTGTCTGGAGGCCTCCACCCAAGCTAGCAAGAGGCATTCTGGGAGTGCAAGGACCCATTCCAGCCTGGCAGAAAAACTCAGGCTGCATGCAAAGAAGGCCCAGTAAGGAGGTGTCTTTGGGGGGGAGGGTGTGCACCCTGGAGAGAGTCCTGAGGGCCATAGAGAGAGGCACTTCTTTTTTAGATTTCCAGATTTCTAGTCTTTTCTTTTTTCAGTTTTTCAAAATTTTATTTTTTGCTTTTCAAGTTTACACATTTCACTAGTTTTATAGATTTCACTAATTTTACAATCATTTTAACATTTCAAAACTTGACTTCCTTCCCCCTCTTTTTGCGGTTCCTTAAATTTATTTTTAATATCCTCTGCATATCCAAATTAACTTAATTTGCTCATCTACTTTAAATATAAACTCTCATAAAACTGCAGGTTGTTACAATGATCCTGCCAATGATCTTACCTGTTTACAATTTATCTGTAAATATTCAGTAAACCATTTCTATTCTTTTATTAAAAGTTTGTTATCTTGATTTCTTATTCTTCCGGTAAGTTTTGCCATTTCTGCATATTCCATAAGTTTTCGTATCCATTCTTCCTTTGCTGGGACTTCTGCTTCTTTCCATTTTGGGGCGAGTAACATTCTTGCTGCTGTAGTCACATACATGAACAAGTTTCTATACATTTTAGCTAGTTCTATCCCTATCATTCCCAAAAGAAAAGCTTCTGTTTTTTTTGTTTTTTTAAAGGTTATTTTAAACATCCTTTTAATTTCATTATATATCATTTCCCAGTAAGCTTTTCACCTTACTACAAGACCACCACATATGATAAAAAAACCTTCTTTCTCTTTACATTTCCAACACTTATTTGATTGAGATTTATACATTTTTGCCAATTTACTCAGTGTTAGATACCATTTACCCCCCCTCCCCTCAAATCAGTTGAAACCAGATAGTGTTGCTAGAGCTTCAGAAGATATTGTAGACCTGAAATCCCTTCAGCTGGTCACAAGAGGACCACAGAAGCAAAGGTGAACATCAGGAGAAACTTTAGCAGGGACCTAGAGGCAGAAAAGAGTGGGTTTGAGATGTGAGGAGAAGATGGCAATATATTGCTTAAGTCCAATAAACAACCCAGTCTTTCTCAGTGGTTCTCTAGTGAGAGGCATAATTCTCCAGAGATCTCTACCATGTGCATTTTTTCACTCTCTCTCCCTTTCCGTATGTGCAAAGCTGCAGAATGAGAAAGGCACACACTATGAATGCTAAAAATGACCCAGCCACGAAGCAAAAACCGCAAAGTGCTGAAAAACAGCAGCACGTTAAAAAATGGAATTTGACACAGAGGCGATTGGGAAGATTAAGGGTCAGCGCCCAGTACGCCAATCTTCCCTGACACTCGAGGGCACATTGTTAGCAACTCTCCATCAGCCAGGAGATGGGGTCAGGATATTCCTCATTAATGCTCTCTTTTGTTTTTATTATTATTGGTCGGCGGTTCGAATCCCCACGACGGGGTGAGCTACCGTTGCTCGGTCCCTGCTTCTGCCAACCTAGCAGTTCTAAAGCACGTCAAAGTGCAAGTAGATAAATAGGTACCCCTCCGGAGGGAAGGTAAACGGCGTTTCCGTGCGCTGCTCTGGTTTGCCAGAAGTGGCTTAGTCATGCTGGCCACATGACCCAGAAGCTGTACGCCGGCTCCCTTGGCCAATAAAGCGAGATGAGCACCGCAACCCCAGAGCCGTCCGCAACTGGACCTAACAGTCAGGTGTCCCTTCACCCTTTATCTGCTGGGAAAGGCAGTGGGGGAAATCACCACATTTGAAATGAGCGAGAAAAAGCAAAAAGAGCAATAACAAATGGGTATTTCTGTGGCACGTCTGCATTTCATGCCATTTCCTCTAAGGAAAATCTATCAATGTTTTGGTACATGGAGAGAGAGAGAGAGAGAGAGAGAATACTTTGCTTAGATTGGCTGGCACCACTAATATCTAATGACTCTGCCAGCTTGGGCACCACACAGCTGAGGCAAAAACACAGGCAAGTGGAGATGGTCACAGTCTGTTCAGAGCCCTGCCCTGTGGCTTGGAAGCGCGTCATCAGTGTCCCAACCATACATAGACATCTTCTTCACACTTGCCATGTGAAGGGAAAGGCACATTTCATTCTTCGTTCCTCTCTGGAAACACAAGAAAGAGATTTTGGTTTTACTGAAGAACCCTCATTGTGTCGGCCCAAAATATCTTGGTTTCCTGAACAGACCCTCCAAGTGTCCCTATTTTCCAGTGACATGTCTATTTTTGTCAGAGAAATGTAGGAGGGTATGGAGTTATCTGACACCTGAGCCAAGGAGATAAGTAACTATATACAGTGGTACCTCAGGTTAAGTACTTAATTCGTTCCTTAGGTCCATACTTAACCTGAAACTGTTCTTAACCTGAAGCACCATTTTAGCTAATGGGGCCTCCTGCTGCTGCCGCTCCGCCAGAGCACAATTTCTGTTCTCATCCTGAAGCAAAGTTCTTAACCTGAAGCAATATTTTCTGGGTTAGTGGAGTCTGTAACCTGAAGCGTATGTAACCCGAGGTACCACTGTAACTATATAACCCTTAGAAGACATCTGAAGGCAGTCCTGTATAGGGGAGTTTTTTTTTTTAATGTTTAATGTTTTATTCTGTTTTTATATATGTTGGTAGGCGCCCAGAGTGACTGGGGGCAACCCAGTCAGATTGACAGATGGGCAATCCAGTTCGCCACATTTCTGCAGCAAAATTCATCAAAATGCAAATTTCTAATAATGACATTTCCCCATGCAATATTGCCGAACACGTTTTGCAAAGCAAATTTCTCTAACACAATGCATTTGTGTGTGTTACCTTCACAACTATATTCTTTTAGCTTAGTAGGTGCATTTTCCTGCATGTTTTCTTGGTTGGAGAACTGCATTACAAAATTCAGAGAAGCACGAATTTGAAGCGAAGCCGCTGTTTCAGTTCATACATTGTTTTGGAAAGTGCATGTTCATCTTGAAAGGCGAATTTAACCAAATTTCTCTCCCATGGATCAACCCTATAGCTACCAGTTTGGGAAACTGAAGTTCCACATCTGTTTGCAATGGAGAGCCAGTGTGGTGTAGTGGTTAAGAGTGTTGTACTTGTAATCTGGTGAACCGGGGTTCGCTTCCCTGCTCCTCCACATGCAACTGCTGGGTGACCTTGGGCTAGTCACACTTCTCTGAAGTCTCTCAGCCTCACTCACCTCACAGAGTGTTTGTTGTGGTGGAGGAAAGGAAAGGAGAATGTTAGCCGCTTTGAGACTCCTTAAGGGGAGTGATAAAGCGGGATATCAAATCCAAACTTTCTGCTCTTCTTCCTTCTGTGCCTTCCCTCTCCCCTCCTCGTGAGCTTCCTCAGCCCCAAAGTGCAGGGAACGTGATTTTGTGAAAAGCATATTGATTGAATTCCCTTACCTGCAAGAACCTCTAATGATTGCATCCACGAGCCACGGCTCCTTTGCAAACAGTATCTTTGCCGAACACAAAGTTCAGGAGGACACCGCGCAAAGGAGGCGTTACTCTTTAAAGGGGGCACAGATTTCCGCCATCTCTCTCTCTTCTTCCCAGCCTGCAAAATATATCCCATCGAATCCTATTTAATAAAAATAAGATTAGGAAAACCAGGACCGGTTGCATTGGCACACGCTGGCATCGATCTAATCATCTCTCCCCCAGACTTCTTTGTTTGATTGGGTAGAATGCACTGGGGTGGAAAATGGGATTGTTAGTATGTTGTGTCGGGAGGTGGGGAGGTGGACCCCACAAATAACCATTAGGCAGCCGACAGTAGAAAGTAGTTTTAGTCGAAATTGACAGGAACTATTGATTGCTCATCAATCACCCCAACAAGTGACAGCACCAACAGTCCATTTAGTCACTATCTTTTGGGGGTAAGGAAGATGTAAGTCTTTCTGCAAGCAGCCATGCATACAAGGAGATGCGTGTGTGTGTGTGTGTGTGTGTGTGTCTGGAAATGTGGCAAATAGCACTTCAGATTGGGGAAATGATGGAAAACTGAAACCGAAGGATTTGCCCATTCCTATGTTACACCACCGCACAAAGAGAGAGCATGATGTAGGCATGAAGCTAAACCCAGGCCAGCTGCGAGAAGATGTGTGCTGAGGACACCAAGAAGGAAGGCAGAGGAGACCATGCCAGAGCTGTACAGTAATCACAAAGGACAGAAAAGCACAGATGAGGCCCCTCATCCTTCAAGTGACGGAATACATGGTATGCCTCTCCACCTGATACTCACACTGCACATCCAACAAGAGGGCCGTTTCATTGTGGCCTTCTGGGTTTTCGCAGTAGATCTTGTACTTGCCAGCATCCGCCCTGGTCACGTTCCAGATCTCCAGAGAGCCACCATCCGCAGGTGATACCGTGGGGAGCCCTCTAAGGAAGACAGAGAGGCGACCAATCTTAAGGTAAGCATTGTAGACAAGAAGAAGAGAAGAAGAGTTTGGATTTGATATCCAGCTTTATCACTCCCTGAAGGAGTCTCAAAGTGGCTAACATTCTCCTTTTCCCTTCCTCCCCCACAACAAACACTCTGTGAGGTGAGTGGGGCTGAGAGACTTCAAGAAGTGTGACTAGCCCAAGGTCACCCAGCAACTGCATGTGGAGGAGCGGGGAAGCAAACCCGGTTCACCAGATTACGAGTCTACACTCTTAACCCACTACACCACCACTGGGCTCTTCAGCAAGGCCAAGGCAGTGGTGGGCTGGTTGGCTTTTGGACCTGGTGGGCAAGAGGTCAGGGAGTCAGAGCCAGTGGACAGGGAAAGTGAACTAATTCTGTTTTTTGTCCCTGTCTTCCTCCCAGCTGAGCTCTACAAAGTCAGCCCTGAGACTCAGGAAGAGGAAGCTGATAGCCCTTGCAATTAAGGAGGTAAGCAATGGGGGCTAGCCGAGGACAGCTGAGCTTGGTGGGGCAATGCCCAACCGGGCCTAATGGCACAGTCTTCACTGGGTAGGAACAGGTGAGCAACAGACCAGAGAGATAAAGAGAGCAGGCTGGCTGTCATGGACTGGCTGATGCAGAGAAGTGGCAGGAGGCAGCAACTGGGGAACCCCCAAGGGAAGAAGACTCAGAGCCAGGGGTTGGTGATGGGACGATGATGAGTGGCCAGAGGGAAAAGCCTGGGAGGAGGAATGATTGGAAGTTGAAGAGCTAACAGGGTTTTAGTGAAGCAGGGAGGAGTCTGAGGAAGATAGCAGTCCAGAAATCAGAGGCAGGAGAGGAGGCCAAGAGGCAGAGATGAGTCAGGCTGGTGAGGAAGCCAGGGTGTCTCCTCCTTGCTGCTGTGACCAGCTCCCCTCCCATCCTGGTCTCCCAGAACCAGAAGAGTTTATGAAGAGGGAGGAGCGAAGACAGGCACAGCCGCAGAATCTCAGATTGCTTAGAAAGGACCCAGGGGAGGAGGAGACTTAGGTAACTGTGCAGAGGCAGGGACCTTCAATCTCCACAACTGCCTCATAGGGGCAAGACCTACTGGGATGACTTGCTGTGCTCACTAGGCAGATCTTGTTTCCTTGAATAAAGAGTTAAGTTCACTGATGCCATGTGATTTATTGCTCCTGGCACTGGCCCACCCAGCTGTCATTGCACAATTTACCCTTCCGCTGCAAGGCATTTTTCCACCAGAAGGATGAAGCCCGCTAAGGATTCCAGGAGGCATATTAACTCAGGATGGAGAACCTGTGGCCATCCAGATATTTGATCAACTCTAACTCCCTTCCCTCCCAGCTAGCATGGCCCATAGTCAGGGATAATGCAAAGTGTAGTGCAGCAACAATGTGTGAGCTACAGGTTCCCTACCCCTGTATTAGTCAACAAATGTCCTTTCCTTCCAGTGCAAATAGCTTCAAAAGGAGGACTTTCCTTAGAACGGCAGTAAGAGAGGAAATGGTAAAGTTCCTCCTGACTTGCTGCAAGCCAGGTGATTATCATAACTCACTGTGTGGGTGCTATTTGCATTTTTTTTAGTGCAAATTAAATGCAAATATGTTTAATGCCCCATCTAATTTGGCCCTTTGATTGGAAGCTCCTTGTAGCCAGGACCAGTCTCATTTGTCTGCAGAAAGACGGGGACACTGGTGACGAAATAGCAGCAACAGCTTGGGACTTCACTCCAAGAATGATGCTGGACCCACCTGTCAGAGTACCTCACCAAGGAAGGTCCAGCGATAGGTGATGTCTGGAGGGCTGGCCGACACCAGCAAGGGCAGCTGGACAGCTCCGTGCTCCACAGCCTGCACTACTAGAGGTTGCTCAGAGGAGAACTCTGGGGGAACTGTGCAAATAGCAGAGGAAGAAGAGATTCTCAGATAACTTTCCCAGTGACTTCCCTCCTGCTTCTTGAAGCCCAAAGGTGTCTAATATGAGCATATGGCAGGTTGCTGCTGGTACATTTCAAAAAGCCAGGCTTACATTTCAAAGAGCTTCCACAGAAACCCTCTGGGTAAACGTTGCCTTACATCTGCCCTGGGGACAACACATGCTAAAACTGTAAACAAATCAACCATGATTTCAGCCCAATGAACTGCAATGTGGTCATGGAAGACACACATGAGTGACAGCTCCCGCCTCCTGGTTGTTCCTTCCAGTTTGCTTTCCTCATTTCTCCGTCAGTTTGCAAAATGGTTTTTGAAATCCTTGTGAAAATCCAACGGCATTTTATTTTACATTTCTCCATATACATATTTTATGCAGTTTTGCCTTTTATGCTAGGTTATTTGCAAGCTGTTTTCCCAAATGCAATGCATCTTTCTTTATTATTTTCATGCATTTCTATGCACATTTTACCCTAGCCTATGGACATTACAAAAATGGTTGGAGAACTGCAGTGCGAAATTCAGAGAAGCATGCATCTTGAAGGGCGGCTGCTTTTCACACATTGTGTGAAAGTGTAGCTTAGGTAGCTTTGCATTAATTTTAGGTAGGTTCACCTTCAAATGTAAAACTGAACTGAACTTCCCTCCCATCCCTACTTCATACTTACATAGGACAGTGAGCTGGTAGAAGGTATTCACACCTTCAGAGAGGACAGAGCTGTATGCATGGCATTCTACTCTCATCCCATGATCTGCAGATGACACCACCAGAGTCACATTTCCTGAAGTGGAAAACCCCCCAAATTCTGCTTTCTTCTGCTCTGGGTTAGTTGCCTTCAACCTGAAGAAGAAACACTACTAACAATAACTTATCAAGAACTTATAAGAACAAGAAAAAGCTCTGCTGGATCAGGACATTGGCACATCTAGTCCAGAATTTTGTTCTCCCAATAGCCAAAAATATGCCTACGGAAAGCCTCCAAGAAGGACCTGAGGACAACAGCAACTCTGCCCACTTGTGACTCCTAAGCATGGTTTTTATAGTACTTATATAATAATAATACTATAATAATTTATTATTTATACCCCGCCCATCTCGCTGGATTTTCCCAGCCACTCTGGGCGGCTTCCAACAAATATTTAAAATACAATAAAACATCAGATATTAAAAAGTTCCCTAAACTGGGCTGCCTTCAGATGTCTTCTAAAAGTCAGATAGTTGTTTATTTCCTTGACATCTGATGGGAGGCATTCCACAGGATCGGCACCACTACCGAGAAGGCCCTCTGCCTTACTTACAATGCTTGTATTCATATGTAACCTATTACAGTGTTTTTCAACTCTGAGTCCCTTGGTGCTGTTAGACTGCAGCTCCCATCATCCATAGCCAGCTTAGCCAATAGCTAAGGATGAAGGGATCTGTCACCCAACAGCATCTAGAGATCCAAGGCTGAAGAACACTGACCTACTGTAAACCACTTGGAGAACTTTGGATAATAACAGGTCTATAAGTGGAAATAATAATACACACAGGAAAACAAGCTGGAGAGACTTGGGTGTCCACATCACCTTTGTCCATGACTGAGCCCTAAGATGTTCCAGCAAACTGGAGGAGCAAAGAGTGAGAGGTCAAAGGACACAATCCTGCCCAAGGTTCCAAAATGTATTGGACTAGCCCTGGCAGAAATGGACAAGGGCCTTTGAAGATGTAGCAAGACCTGCAGGTGAAGCTGTTGTAGGATGGGCATTGGGGAAGTCAGACATCCTCTTACCTTTTCCCATCTTTGAGCCAGGTGAGGCTGGCGGGAGGATTGCTGCTGCCCGATTTGCAGTGAAGTGTCACCAACTGGCCAGGCCTGATCTCCTTGACTGTCACCGTAATTTTTGCGCTTAGGGCGGGACTGTGGAAAGAAAGTGGCTGGCTGTCAAGACTCAGGCTTCGGCGCCACCTCCTAGCTCTACCCTCCATGCCAACCTTCCCCAACCTGCTGCCCTCCAGATGCCTTAAACTACAACTCCCATAAGCCCTGGCCACAGTGACCATGATGGGAATTGTGATTCAGAAGAAATTGGCAGGGGGTGTGGATTGGGGAAAGCTGTATAAGGTCTGTATTAAGGCATTCTGCATTGAAGTACAGATAGGAGATATAGCTCAGTGGCAGAGCCTCTGGCTCACATGCAGAAGGTCCTGGGTTCAATCCCTGGCATCTCCTGATAGGGCTCAGAGAGCCTCTTTTCTGGAAATCCCAGAGAGCCACTGCAATCCAGTGTTGACAATACTGAGCTGGATGGATCAGTGGCGTGATTTGGTAAAAGGCAGCTTCCTATGTTCAGGTCCCATCTTTCCACTTGTGGTGCCACAACTCTTGGGGCCGAGCTTATCAATACACCAGAAACAAACAAGCCAAAAAGAATATTTCTTGCTTATGGATGCTACCACTTTAAAATAATAGAAGAGGGAAATCTCATATTTATGGGTTTCACCCATATCGTAAATCATTTGCATTTGGAAAGCTAGCAGGTCAGGAGTTCTAAAGCCCAGTCTTCTTCCCAGGATGCTTGCTTGCTTGAGTCATCAATTTTATTTTATTTATATCCCACCCTTCCTCCCAAAGGAGCCCAGGGTGGCTTCCCAGGCACCCTCTACTAGACTGTGCGTGAAAGCTGCCACTCAGTGAGAGAGGGGCTTTGCATGCAACAGGTCCCAGGTTTAACCCTTGGTTTCTCTAGATAGGGCTGGAAACAGACTTATTATGCCTGAAACCTTGGGAAACCGCTGACCGTCACTGTCGACAATAGTAAGCTAGCTGCTATAACTTGGCATATTGCCCTTGCACCCTGCTCAATATACTGGTGAAGCTCAGCAGGCACCCAGGTTGCTTCAGAGGAGGGCAGGACCACGGACAGCTCACTGTGGTTCTGCATCCAGAGGCAGGATGGACACAAGGCACCTAAGAGCAGCCAGCTTGGAACATTGTCCCATCAATGGTTTGTTGTTGTTTAGTCGTTTAGTCGTGTCCGACTCTTCGTGACCCCATGGACCAGAGCACGCCAGGCACCTCTGTCCTCCACTACCTCCCGCAGTTTGGTCAAACTCATGCTGGTAACCTCGAAAACACTATCCAACCATCTCGTCCTCTGTCGCCCCCTTCTCCTTGTGCCCTCCATCTTTCCCAGCATCAGTGTCTTCTCCAGGGAGTCTTCTCTTCTCATGAGGTGGCCAAAGTACTGGAGCCTCAGCTTCACGATCTGTCCTTCCAGTGAGCACTCAGGGCTGATTTCCTTAAGAATGGATGTGTTTGATCTTCTTGCAGTCCATGGGACTCTCAAGAGTCTTCTCCAGCACCATAATTACATCAATCAAGAGTCTTCTCCAGCACCATAATTACATCAATGGTTTAGTCTGGAGCAAACAATTAGCTTAAGCAGCTTCACCATCATTGGGTGGCGGTCTCAAGCTCCATCCCCTCCAAGGAAACTGGTTGGGTTTAAAGGGGCTCAGCCGTATCCATCAGATCTCTCCTGCTGCCTGGTGGGCCTGGTATTGTCCCACCCAAGTGGATGGAGCCACTTTTCTGACATTGGCATCACTGCAGCCTGCCTGGATGCGGCTGGGGCAGGTGGCCGTGAGGCTGGGGCTGTGCAGTCGCACCAGTGAAGTGGTCAGATTGGCTCCACCGGTGCAGCCCCAGACTTGCCACTACCCTGCCTTGCCCCAGCCCCAGGGTGGAGAAGATAGATGGGGAACCACGTGAACATTGATAGACACTGCAGGGGGTTCGACTAATTCTCCCTTGAGGTCCATTAAAATTTTACAGTTCTGTGATTCTGTAGACAGTTACATTTCTCTTGAGCATCTTGCTCTTATTTCTCAGTCACATGTCCCCCCGCAAACACGCCCTCCATTCAAGGCCGGAAGGGTGCACATGTGTTTTGAAGCTTACACTGGACGTGCAGACGAGTCTCTGCAGTGAGTGCTGGGGTTCTGGAACTTCCAAATGCCTTGCAGTAGTAAGCAGCCATGTTGTCGCTGGCAGTTGTGGTGAGGAGCAGCTCCTTGGACACAATGTTCCCCGATGACCCCGGAGTTGTCCCGTCCCTCACTACTTTGCTCTCCTGTAGGAAGAATCCAGATTGCAGTGGGGGTAAGCAGAGAGGCAGCCACTCTGGGGGGATTGGCCAATTGGGCACACATCGCTCTGTCCTCTAACAGGACTGGCCAGGGGTCCTTAGGAGGAAGAGCCATGGGGTCACTTCTACTGCCCCAAGCAGCTACCATTTGTCATCTACCTCACTTTGTCTAATGCAATGGAGGGGAAACTCAGACCCAGGGGCCAAATTTGGCCTCCAGACCTTCCTACCTGTGTCCTTGAGACTCTCTCTGGGTGACAGCCCCTCCCCAACCACACCCTCTCACTCCAGACCATGCCCCTCACTGTCCTGGCTTTGCAACTTCCTCGGGTATTTTTGCCTGGCTGTGATGTGCCCTTGAACACTGATCATCCCCCTTGGTTGCCAGGAAGGAGGACAGAATATGAGGGTGGGTGTCTAGAAACAAGCCTGTTGTACGGAGATAAAATTTGCATTCATTGTTCTGCCAAGTTTTGCCTCTGCTCCTCAACCACCACCATCAACTTGTGGTGCAGCTCTCAGGCTGAAAAAGTTTCCCACCCCGGCCTAATAGTAGGGCTGGCCCTGGAGGCAGTAATGCTGGACCACCTTGTACCACTCGAGGCGAGGCAGAGGGTGTCCGCCGCTGGCAAAGCAGGTGAGCTTGACTACGGTGCCAGCTCGAAAGCATGTTTCTGGGGTTGGCACATCAATCCAGATCTTCTGAGGTGGATCTGAAGGACAAAAACAAGAATGGGGAAGAGAAGGAGGAAACAGATATTAGAAGGGGGGATTCAAAGCACGTCACACATGACAACCGTTGCCCTGACACACACACAATCATCCCTCCTGCTCACACTGTACTCGGAGGGTCACAGTAGCACTCTTGGCGTAGAGGATGGCTTCATTGAAGGCCTCACAGATCAGAGACAATCCGTTGTCCTCACGGCGTGCTGTGTATGTGATGTTAGACACCGTGATCATCCCGCCATGAGCTGCCTGTAGGAAGATAGCAATTCTCATTTTGAGAAGGGAGAAGAGGCAGATCTAAACAACTGGTTTCAAAATGGCTGTTTCCCTGATTTCCCAGCACTCTGAAAGTCCACAGGTCCCTCTAACTTGGTATTGTCTACACTGACTGGCAGCAGGGCTTCAGAGAAGAGGAAACTCCAAACCCAACCAAAGATTGAACCTGGGACTTTCTGCAGGAAAGGCAGATGCTCTACCACTGATCTACAACCTTCCTCAATGCTCATACAATGTTCTTACTTCCCCCACAATCTGGGACAGTACAGTCTTCTCAGAGGCCCTTACTTTCCCACGCTCATGGCCCCTAAACTCATGCTTCAGGCCCTCCCTGTCATGATCCGAACCAGCAGATAAGTCTTGACATGGAGGCAATGGAATCCACTGGATTCGGAAGACCAGCGGTGGAAGTGGTGGACCCCAACCCAGGCTCTGATGGGCTGGAGCCCGTCCACCAGGAACCCATTGGCTAGGAGGCCCTGGAAAGAGAGTACTCTCCAAATTGGGACACCCTTAGAGAGAGTGTCCCAAAGGACTGCTGCCATAATGTACCGCCTCACCTCCATTTTGTGCCCCCACATAACCCCCTGGATTCAAAAATCTCCTGTTTGTCTGGAAAAGTTGGCAGGCGACATCTAAAAGTAGGGAAGGGAGAATCTGTCAGTTTTGGTTTTTCTCCATTCTCATTTTCCCAATCTCAAGTTCAGTTCTTCACCTTTCCACATACCACTTTGCACCCCAAAAAAACCAAAAACAAATAAAGACAAGTCCTCATGGAAACTCAGCAGCATTTTAGTGCAAATCTCTCTCAATATGCATATACAGTGGTACCTCGGGTTACATACGTTTCAGGTTACATACGCTTCAGGTTACAGACTCCGCTAACCCAGAAATATTACCTCGGGTTAAGAACTTTGCTTCAGGATGAGAACAGAAATTGTGCTCCGGCGGCGCGGCAGCAGCGGGAGCTCCCATTAGCTAAAGTGGTGCTTCAGGTTAAGAACAGTTTCAGGTTAAGAATGGACCTCCGGAACGAATTAAGTACGTAACCAGAGGTACCACTGTATTTTTATACAATTTTGCCCAATACACACATTCTTACAAAGCACTTCCTCCTCACAGAATGCATTTTTGTCTCCTATTTTACTTACGCATGCCTTCTAATGCACGTTTGACTCCAGGGTACACATTTTCATACACATTATGTGCACTGCAACATTCATAGAAGTGCGAATTTCAAAGAGCAGCTGTGTTTTGGTTCATCTATCATTTCAGAAAGTGCAGATTAAACAAGTTTGCCTTCAAATTCCTGCCCCATCCTTGGCTCAGGAACAAGAGAGGATGAAATGCCCACTGACGCCCTCTAATTACCGTCCACATAGGACCCATCTCACTCAGCCTCCTAGCAGGATGGGTCCCTGCTATTGCCTACCTCTGAGACAGTGACCTCTGTGGCGCTGAGCTCCTTCCAGCCCAGCCACCAGCGCAGCAAGACAGGTGGGTTGCTGGCAGAGGTGGAACAAGACAGCGAGACCTCCTTGTTTTCCTCGGTGCTGCTTGAGCCTATGATTTTCACCTGGTCGGGGAGAACTGTCATCCAAAAAGTAGAGCCCAGGGGCGGGGGGGGGGGTGAGAGAGAGAAGGATATTAGTCACCCAGTGCAAGACTTAGATGTGCCCATTTTTGTTTTCATATCAGTGTGTCCTTCTTTCCCTTTCATCAGGAGAAGAAAGTTGGTTGCGGTTTTGTTTATCGTTCCAAGTGCCTCTGGGAAAGTACAACATGCTTGACTTTTGCGAAGGGAAGCAAGGTTGTTGTTGTTATTTACAAAATGGACCTAGTGGCCGAGGCTGCGTATACACCCCAAACACATTTTTCGTCTCAAAGAATTCTGGGTGCTGTAGTTTGTCAAGGCTTGCTGGGAATTGTAACTCTGTGAAGTGTAAGCCACAGTGCCCGGTATTATTTGAGGGGGTAAATGTGCCTTAAAGGTTTAGTGCAGCGGTTCTCAACCTGTGGGTCCCCAGATGTTGTTGGACTACAACTCCCATCATCCCTGAGCTCTGGCCTTGCTAGCTAGGGATGATGGGAGTTGTAGTCCAACAACATCTGGGGACCCACAGGTTGAAAACTGCTGGTTTAGTGGGTATGCAGAATCAGGGCCGTCTTACCCATAGGCAATAGAGGTGCGGGGCACCCGGGCACCAGGCTCTCAGGGACTCCAGGCTTAGAGTCTGGGGCCTGAGAGTTGAGTCTGGGGAAGAGCCCGTCCATTGGTCGGAGCACCGCAGAGGGCTCTTCTGCTATGCTGCAAGTCCGGGGGTGACTGAGCCAGCGAGATGCTGAGGCTGCTGGCCAGCTCCGCCCTCCTGAATGACTGGGACTGGGCAACCGGAGGGTGGGCACCAGGCAAATCTTTGCACCCCGGCACCACATATGCTTAAGAAAGCCCTGTACAGGATAGTGTCTGCATTCAAACGTAGCAAAATGCTCTAGTTACGGGAAGGAGACACGGAGAGATTTGGGTGCATGTACTCCCCATCCCTCTCTTCTGGTGGAAAGGAGGAGATTGGAGGCTTCACTTCTGTCTTAAAATAACCGCAGTTTACCTTTCCATCTGAACCCTAAAATGCGCTTAATCTGAACTATGGTTTCTGAGTCAAAGTATTTACAAAGGTGGGGAGGGGGAAATATGGTTCTGAAGACAAGATTAATTTTCAGGAGGTGAATTCCTAAGAACGTTCAAGGGGTGATATTACCTTGAAATATATGTTAGCTGAGGATTTTGTCTTCCTTCTACATCTTTTTTAAATAAAAGTTAAAGAAACATTGCTCCTTGACCAATCTTCCCCTCCAAAAATTTCCTCTGGGAATAACACTATCACGAAGGAGCATTTTTCCCATTGGGGCATTTAATTCTAGGAATACCACTGATCTACTGTCACTTGAAGTGATGGAAAGACTTGCTGTATTGCAAAAAGAACACACAATGGCAGCCTCTTACTTGAAAGCATGGCCACAGCACCCACAAATTAGCATTTGCTTGCCCCTCCCCAAGTCACCAAATATCACACACACACACACACACACACACACACACACACACACTTTTATGGGGATGAGTGGTCCCAGGAAAGAAAGGGCAGGATATTCAGTCAAGTCTTAGTTGAAACAAGTCTACTTCATGAGAAACTACTCAGGCATGTTTGGGGAAGGGACAGTCCCAACACTCACAGACCACGTGCAGAGTGATGCTGGCTTGCAGGGGAAGGGGCAAGACTTGGTTCAAGGCCTGGCAGCTGATTGTAGCCATGTTGTCTTCTGCTGTGATGCTGAGGCTGAGGGAGCTCCGGGACAATTGGCCGGCGTCGTCCGTCTCCCAGTTCGTGGAAATCACTTCATCGTTCTGTAAGGCACAAGCCCATATCTGAGATCCAGGGGGAAGAGCCTGGAAGCTGAAGGATAGGGACCTGACCAACCAGGGGGCAGTGTTGACAAGATAGGGGAGCGGCCTGGCAGTGCCCAGTATACTTGAAGGAGCATCTCCACCCCCATCGTTCAGTCCAAACATTGAGGTCCAGCTCCGAGGGCCTTCTGGCGGTTCCCTCACTGCGAGAAGTGAGGTTACAGGGAACCAGGCAGAGGGCCTTCTCGGTAGTGGCACCCGCCCTGTGGAATGCTCTCCCATCAGATGTCAAGGAAATAGACAACTATCTGACTTTGAGAAGACATCTGAAGGCAACCATGTTTAGGGAAGTTTTTAAAGTTTGATGTTTTATCGTGTTTTTAATATTCTGCTGGGAGCCGCCCAGATTGGCTGGGGAAACCCAGACAGATGAGTGGGGTATAAATAAATTAGTAGTAGTAGTATGCCAGGATAGGAGCGGAGGACAGATGCAGTTAGGCAATCAGTAACAATCCGCTGGCCCTAAGGCACCATGACTTTGGAGCTCAATGAGCACAGGGGCTGAGCAAATAGCAAACTTTATCAAGCCAACAGGGAAATAACATGTTTTGGGCTCCCAGACTTCTTTCCTTCCTTCTCTTAGATGCCAGGAGAAGGAGGATAGAGCCTAGGGCCCAGCAAACCTTGTAACACCATATACAAATTGGACAACATGTCCATTCATAAAACCTCTATGCACCACCACTAGAAAACCTCAGGGATGTTGGAAGCTGCTTTCTAGTGCTTATAAGACTCCTGGTCTATCTAACTATACCCCTTGGAGCAGCCAGTCCAGAGTTTCAGGCAGGGGTCTTTCCTGTAGAAGTCTAGCATTGAATCTTGGGTCTTCTATGTGGACGGCATGTGCTCTGTGGCTCTTCCTCAGTAGAACAGCCACCATGTGGAGCAACTGCTGTATGCGGGCTGTTTCAAACCATGTGAGAACTGCAATACATTGAGCAATCCTTAGCTGCTTTGTCATCAATGAATATACATGAACATTCCAACTGATGAGAGGGAAGGGCAAATCGCAGAATGTTGAGCTACTGCTATAAAGAAGGGAGAAAGGGAACAGAAACACGGAGGGGTGCTGAAAGAAAAGACCCATCAGGAACAAGGATGGCGGAGGCATGGAAGAAGGCCAGATGACGGGGGGGGGGGAATGGAGGCTGCAGCAAGTCAAGCAGAAGGTGGAAGAGGCCAAGGGCTAAAAGACAGACAGAGTGGATTGAGGAATGTAGGGAGAGATCAAAGAGAACAGAAAGCTGAGCTAAAACTCCACACCAGATAATGGGACAGGAAGGGCTGTACTGTTGCTGATGTAGCAGAAGGTGAATTGTGGGGTCATAACATATAGCCTGTCAGAAAATCTGGCTGCAGTTCCCTCACTGGCTGCTAACAGAATAATTACCACCAGGTGGCACTCACTGGAACGTTTTTGCATTTACAGCCTGGAAGTCACAGAAATGTCCACCTAAATGTTAAGGAGAGCAGGAGTCATGGTCTGCTGTACAGTATCCCAAGCTCCAGACACCTGGGGGAGAATCTGGGCTTTCTCCAATAGCAAATGATTTGTCGTCCCGCCCACAAAAAAAGAAAAGAATTGTGCACACACGAAAACAGCTCTCCTCTCCCCAGAGCACAAGGGGGGGAGGGGGAACTCAACTCATCAAACAAGTCAGTACAAAAAGACTAGCGCCTCAAAGTTCCCCCACTCACCTTTAGCCATTGCAGGGTAGCCAGTGGGTTCCCACTCAAAGAAATACAGGTCAGCTCTAACTTGTCCTTGGCTTTTACTGTGGGGCCATCGTATCCCTTGATGACAGGTGGCTGTGGTGGGACTGTCAAAGAGAGCAGAACGATATGGCTGAAACTCAAAGGAGGGGAGGTCCCTAAGGCCACCAGTTCCTGTTTACCTACAGCAACCTTCCCTTTCCATAGGGGTGGAGAGGCAGTGTGGTGCAGTGGTTAGAGTGTCAGACTAGGGCCTAACTGCAGTTTCCAGGGCAAGCGCAAGGGAAGTCTCGCATAGAATGCATTGCAGTAATCCATTCTTGAAGTCACCAGTGCATCAACTACGGTAGCCAAGCTCTCCCTGTTCAGGAATGGTCAAAGATGTTATACCCATTGACCATTATGCTTGACCGCTGGCTAGACTGGCTGGGGCTGATGGGAGCTGGAGTCCAGCAACATCTAGAGGCCACAGATTCTGCACCTTTTATCTAAATCAGTCAAAGGATACTGAGTTATCATCGTCAAAATGATAGCGCAAAAGCTGGGGAGCAGGTCTGTTTTGAATGACAGGGGCTGATCCACAGAGGAAACTAAACACACCCAAATCAAACAGGCTGTTTACAAGGACTTAGGAGGATGGCGTTTGCCTGGCTGGGTTGACCAGACCTTGAAGATTTAGGTGACATCCACACCATTATCTCAAAGTGCATTTAAAGCACATGTATTCCTACAAATAAATCCTGGGAATTGTAGTTTGTCGAGGGTGCTGCGAATTGTAGCTCTGTGAACGGTAAACTACAGTTGCCAGGATTCTTTGGGGGAAGACGTGTGCTTTAAAAGTGTGGTGTGGATTGGACCTCAGCGGATATGGGCTATTTCCATCACATGCTGACCTTGTCTTGTTTTTAAAAGAACCTTAAAAAAAGAAAACCCAACCCACCCTTTAATTATCTCATACTTTCCCTTGTCCATTTGCTCTGCTATCGTCTCTTGTTTCTTCTTGCCTTTTATTGCAGCTGCCCTGGGTGATCTCTCGCTTCCTCCTCCACCTCTTCATTCCTTATCCTTTTGTGTTTGTTTGTTTTTATTAGGAAAGAAATAACAGTTTCCTTGGGCACTTAGTGGCGATTATGCTGACGGTTACCTTTAGCCCTGGAAAAGGGAAAGGTCTGACGAAGCATTCCGAGTGACTTACACAGGATATTCATGGTGAAGCTGACAACAACTGGGATTAAGGCAACTGGGTTAGAAGCTGCGCACGTCAGCCGTTGCCTGTTGTCTGAGCTCTGGGGAGTGATCCTGGAAGAAAGCAGAGGAGGAGACCACAGGAGCGATTCAAAGCTAGTAATTGTGGTTTTTTTTGGGGGGGGGTCTGGTTTGGTTCGCACAAACCTACATCATTTGCACTTTCCAAAGGAATACACTAAACCAAACTTCTCTTAATTTGGCAATACAGTTGTCCAGCTAAAGAATGGGTTAAAAATGGGCATAGCAGGGGGAAATGTGTGCATCAAAATGCATAAGTTAGTGAAAACAGCGTGAAAAAATGCAACCCTTTGGGAGGGGAAATTGCTTTGCAAAAAAATGTGTTGATTAGGGAACATTTGCATGCAAAAATGTGTATCTGAGGAGAATTTTTTTTGAACTGCAAACTGGTGAGGAAAGGTGGCAAACCAAATTTAAGATTGGAAAAATGAGAAGCTGAGAGAAACCACAGTGGAAGGATTTATTCTTCCCTAGCTACCCTCTCATTTTGCCCCTACTCTGCATGTACCCCTCTCCACATTCCTTCAGCTTTTGACTTCCACTGTAGAGCAGCCTTTAAAAAAAAAGATAAAGGACCCCTGGACGGTTAAGTCCAGTCAAAGGTGACTATAGCGTTGCAGTGCTCATCTTGCTTTCAGGCCAAGGGAGCTGGCGCTTGTCCACAGACAGTTTTCCGGGTCATGTGGCCAGCATGGCTAAACCGCTTCTGGTGCAACAGAACACCGTGACAGAAATCAGAGCACACGGATGCACTATTTACCTTCCCGCCACAGTGGTACCTATTTATCTACTTGCATTGGTGTGCTTTTGAACTGCTAGGCTGGCAGGAGCTGGGACAGAGCAACGGGAGCTCTCCCCATTGCGGGATTCGAACTGCCGACCTTCTGATTGGCAAGCCCAAGAGGCTCAGTGGTTTAGACCAGAGCGCCACCCACATCCCAGAGCAGCCCTGCATACAGGCGACTGGGGGCTAGCGCTATAGAGTTCCTTCCATGTTCTTCGCACCTTAGCATGGCCTCTGTGCTGAAGAGTTTGTCGTTGGAGCCAGGTTGGATGCTGGATGACACATCTGTCACTTCCTTGTCACCTGGGGAGAAAGGGAAGATTGGTAAGGAGGAGGCTAATTCCGTGGCCTAGTCAACCTTCCACATACCCCCATGGTAGCCCTCAAAAATACCCCCACTCCACCCCGCCAAGACTAGCACATTATGAAGCAAGCGAATTCTGAGGGACCCCATGCTAGGAAGGGAAAAAACTGGCCTAAACTAGCTGGGTGCCCAAGGTGAGACCCTAGAATGGTACCTCCCTTCCCCACACCTCTAAAAACCAGTTAGCAAGAGAAGGCCGCTATTCTGCTTAGGAACTGCTTGAGGGCTTCCCAGAGGCAACTGTGAGAACACAATGCAGGACTTAGATCTGATCTAGCAGGGCTCTGATTATGAGACAGGGGCCAGAGCTCAGTTGAAGAGCATCTGCTGTGCAGGCAGATGGTCCCAGCCTCAATCACTGTTATTTCCAGATTGCACAGGGAATGTCTCCTTGCCGGGAACCCTAGAACACCACAGCCAGACAGTGTGGCCAGTACTGAGCCACATGTACCAATGGTCTGAATCAGAACAAGGCAGCTTCCTAAGTTCTGAACACAGATCACCATCTTCCATGCTCTGGCACAGTTCCAGGACATTTCAACGACAGCTTGTGCAACAGAATTTCTATTGGGATAAGAGGGTCCAATTACCTAATGAAATCCTTTCGTATTCAGTGTGAGCAGCGTTTAACTAGTGAATCTTGATTAGAGAGTAGACTTTACCTGTTGCAATTACACAGAGAGAGATGCGTGTAGGGAAAGGGGGAGTTGTTTATTGTAGGAAATACGTAACTCAGATAGAAAAGTTTCTAGTTCTAGAATGTGGCATATATCCAGCCTCATTTAGCCAACATACTTAACTCTAATGGATGCATGAAGGGGTTAAGGCCACAGAGTAAGCTGTCCTGCCAGGCTTAGCTAGGTTACACACCCTCACTTTGGGAGGTAGGATTACCAAACACTTTGTTCTTTTTCTTCCACCATGTGAACCCTTTTAATAAGGATATCTAAGCTGAATGTTCCAAGCCATCTTTATGCTTCTATACAAATAACTTAGAAGCATTTCCCACTTTTTGAAACTAAGTTGTACTGCTTGTCTTTTCTTGCTGCTGTATGGAAAAACACATGAATCTGACCTTTGAAGAGTAAGTAAACTATTTTTAACTTACCAATCATGTGGTCTCTTTCTATGCTAAGGGAAGAGCGGAGCTTTGGAAGAAACTTAGAAGGGGGTATTTTAAAGGTCTAACAGCCAATATTTCCACGCTTTACTTTGCTGCATGTTTGTGATTTTAAATCTCTGCTGGGGCTCTCTCACCAAAGAGTACTTGCCCCAAACCCTGGATCGAAGCATCCAGAGAATTTTCCTTCTATTTTATGATGTCTAGTATGTTCCCCTTAAACAAACAAACAACAACAACAACCTAACTAGTCTAGAAAACAACAAGGCATCCATGCTTGCTCATCTACTCTCTCAGAGTATAGTAAAAAATGACTTCTCTTCTTGAGGTCCAAGAATCAGTGGGAAGAGGAGGAGGAAGCTGTAAACAGGATGCAACTGAAGACATATCAGTCTAAACAACAAGGAGATAGAGAACTAAGCTGATAGGCTACAGGTACACGGATAGTATGGGAATGTGTCTGTCCCTCAGTCTATTTGTCTTAATCCAATGCAAAGCTCTCTTTTTACGAACTGGGTTGCACCCAAACTTCCATGGGCCAAAAACTTGTCTTGCCACTTGCTCTGCTACCTTTAAGGGCACCCCGACAAATCTGATTGTGTTATTTTAGAGACTTTAAAATGTTCACCAATATTAATATTTATGGTTCCGATAGCACAAGATTAGACCATGGTAAATGTATCTTCTCAGATCAGCTGATTGTATAAACAAACCGCTGCTGGTGTCTGGTGCTGGATCAAATGTATGTTGAAAGGCGGAGAAATGTTACATTTAAGTTTCTCTATAGTTTTATCTCTAGTTGACTAAGGAATTATTCATGCATGAGAATTCCTCATTATAACTGTGCAAAAGCTAGATTTCCTCCTCAATCAATGATGAATGCATTTGCACAGAGAGACGCTAGAAAAGCATTTCCTAAATAAATAAAACATTCAGATTATATCTCAATGTTTTCTGGGTGGGTGTTGTATTTTGTTTTCATGTGTTATTTTTATTGTTGTTATTATGGCCAGGGGGGCACAAAATGTGGAAGTGGCACAGGTCTCTCTGGACCTCGGAGAGGGCCTGTGAACCAGCCAGTGGAACCATTGTCCCAGAAACATCTCTTTGCTCAGTGAAAATGAGAGAAACTGGAGGATGATCCATTAGGGCAAATGGGCACTGGCCCGTCCAACCTGTCTGCCTTCACCCAAGCCCCACCTGCCTGCCTTCCTCTTTCTGCTCAGTCCAGGGGGTGGCACTGCCACCACCTCCGTCTTTGTGTTGCCCTTGTAGAACTCAGTGGGGAGAAGGATTGAGCAAATACTAGAATTAGTTGCCTCTGCCTGCCATGGGTTACAGCGCCACCTACTGGTTAGCCTCCCCGCCCTACAAGTCACAAAGAGCACCAGCAACCACTAGCAAGGTGAATGACACAAAATCAGCCCCTGCCCCGCCCCTCCCAAAGAACAATCCCGCAACTTGTGGAAGGAACTAGGATTCATGCAACCTCCTCACCACTGCGGAAGGTGATCTCGGCTGCAGGCCGGGCATCTTCCACCTGGCAGTGCACCGTATATTCCATGCCAGCCACCCAGGTCACTGTGCTGTTGGCTGGGTACTCCCTAATGAGCGGCCTCTTGGGGGGAACTATAAGGAAAAGAAGTAAAGTGAAGAAGGGTGAGATGTGGTTGCTTTTTTCCGCTATACTTCCACCACCAGAAGCATCCTCCCCACATGTCAGGCTTCGGGGAATTGGCCCCCGTGGCCCTAAATGATCAGATCAAATGAAAGGAATTCTTACCAGTTAGTTTCTTTAATAAACACAGTGAAGGACAAAAGAAAGCATCAACCCAGAATGGTGGTGCTCCCAATTAAGGCTTACACTCCCTCCGTCCCTACTAATCTATGTCTCTCCTACGTCTTATAATCTGAGCTTGTACCCTCTGAGCTTTCTGTTCTGAGTCTTTCTGAGCTCTTCTCAACCTTGGGCTGGGTGGAGGAATGCTGTCCAGAGGCTGTGAATCTGTTAACCCTCTCTCTTCCAGTGTTTCTTCTCCTAGCTATTCCCCATCCAGTATTTCCCAACTTCTGCCTTCTGAAATATGCCCTTCTGCAAACCGCTGTTCCAAATCTAGACTGTCCTCCTGCTCCTAGGAAGATTCAGGAGCAGGAGCAGGGGAAGGGGTGCTCCCACCATTCCTCCTCAGTGCAGCCCTCCTCAACACGGTCCCCGACACCACACAGCACTTTCATAGCTAAAACCATTGTGTGCAAAAGGTTAATGCCTATTCAGTCAGATCAGGGGGCCCTTTTCAGCTCAGGGGCCAAATTCTCTTGGGATCAACCTTCCAGGGTCTGCATACCAGTTCAGATGCAGAAGTGGGCAGAGCATTGGATGTGATGCTTCTCTTGTCCAATAGGCTTCATTCCAGCCATGTGAAACACAAAGGTTTCTATGGGCACACACACACACAGGCCCAGGCACCACACATCTCTCCCTCCTTCTCCCAAGGAAGAAAGAGGCATTGTCACAGCGCAAGGGCACATTCCAGCCAGGCAAAAGAACCCAAAGAGGGTGCGGCCTCTGGGAAAGGCTGTGGTCCGCAGAGAGTCACATGGCTGTTCCTCAACCAATTCTGGAAGAGGGAACGCAAATGAATTGATTAGGAGAGGAGCCGACGTGAGCTCCCAGAGTCCTTCTGGCACTTACTCAGCACAGAGAGCAGCACACTGCGAGAGATGATGCCTCTGCTTTTCTCCGAAGGTCCCACCTGGCACTCGTACACGGCATCGTCTTCCAGTTGGCTCCTTGTTATTTGCAGGTTAAACTTGCCTGAAGTATCAAAAGGCAAGGGCAAGTCAAAATGATATTTTCCCCCAGTGTTTGGTTCAAATTATTCTCATTCTGGGACACATTCTCTAATCCTGCTCTGGACTTGCTAGTTATCAGGCTCGCGGCACTGTTACCCATCCAAGAGGGGTTCTCCAATCCTCTCCCAGCTCTTTCCCTATACAGTGGACACTCAGGTTGCGAACGTGATCCATGCGGGATGCACGTTCGCAACCTGCAGTGTTTACAACATGCAGCTGCATGTCTGCACATGCGCAAGTTGCAATTCAGCGCTTCTGAGCATGCGCAACTGCTGAAACCCGGAAGTAACCTGTTCCAATACTTCCGGGTTTCGGTAGTCCGTAACCTGAAAAAACGCAACCTGAAGTGTCTGTAACCCAAGGTATGACTGTACTGTGTCACCTTCTCCATAACTATTAATACGCTGGTGCTGCTCTTCCTAATGCAGGATTTGGTGTCCTAAAAATGCCATTTATCAGTTATTTCAGAAGCACCAAGTTTCGACTTCATTTCAGTTTTGTTTTACTTAAATAAAGAAATTGCCACCACTTCCCCTCTAAAAAAAATCCTACAGGATTCCCCAGGAAGAACACTTAAGTCAATATCATAACCATTTAAATCCTCTCCAAAAAAAAAACAACCCCCAAAAAATTAAAACAGTAGGATGGCAGTGGATGAAGCAATATATCTTAGCACCAATGGAATATACAGCATCAGCACGTTCATACAAACCTAATGTGAGGAGGGGTTTTTTTTTCTTTCCGGTTTCACAACAATTCCTCCCAACATACATCTTAGTCAGTTCCAGTCTTTCCCCCAGAACCTGACAAATGTCCCCATCACTCCTATCGTGGGTCTGTGTTCCCTAATATAAATCACAAATATGTTCCTAGCTCTCATGATTGCTGGCAAATCATGAGACTGGAGATGTCTCCATGCTTTTTCCCTTCCCTTCCTTCCTTGGCAATTTTCTTGAAATTATTTGAAAACCTTATTCACAAAAATAGAGCTGAAGCAGTGTTGCAAAGCAAAACCAGACGCCGGAGGACAGGGAATTTGTGGCCCTCTAAATCAGAGGTGCACAACCTGCAACCCTCCAGTAGTTTCTGGACTACAGCTCCCATCAGCCCCAGCCAACATAGCCAGTGATCAGGGATGATGGGAGGTGTAGTCCAAAAACATCTGGAAGGCCACAGGTTGCGCACCCCTACTCTGGTTGTTGTTGTTGTACTCCAGCTCCCATCAGCCCCAGCCAACATGGCCAGGAATGATGGGTGTTGTAGTCTAGCAACTTCTGGAAGGCCACAGATTTCCCAGCCCTGCCCTAATTGATAGTGGCAGCTAGCTGGAAGTGGCAGCTTGGTGGAAGCTAGTTCCAATGACCCCCACAAAAAAACCTGGAGACTTCTCACCTTGGCTAGGATCTCTCACCATGCTGTAGCGTGGAAACCTAGGGATGTCCTGGTTGGGTCCCAACAAAAGCCCATCCTTCACCCACTGCACAATGCCAGATAGGTTGTCCACCTCACACCTTAGCAGAGCTGTTTTCCCTTCATGGACGGTGACGTTATCCGGCTCCACACGGAAGGCCTGTTGAAGGTTCTCAGCACAGCAACCTAGGAGATCCACAATATGAATGATGGCCAACAGCTATGCTCATTCAAAGTCTGCCTATTTCCTCCAAGCCAACTACATGCAAATGTCCACTTCCCTGAAACTCAGCAAAGAAAAGGGAGGCTATCAGAGAACAGCTCAAATGCAACTACACCTTTCCAAACAGGTGGCTGTCCAGTCGGTGCCTCGACACCTCCAAGCAAAAGAGAGCCCACCATCTCCTACAGCAGCCTCTGCTCCACTCTCAAACAGCTCTTGCTGTTGGGAAATTTCCCCTCATCTTTAGTTGAAATTTCCTTGAAATTCCCATCCATTGGTTCTAGCCAAGGCTGCTTGAACTTCTGCATGACATCCCTTCAGATATTTAAAGACACTTGTCATGCTTCTCCTGGGGAAGGATGGCAGGTCATGGTAGAGCATCTGCTATACATACAGAAGGTCCCACATTCAATCCCTGGCATCTCCAAGAAGGGCTGAAAACATCCCCTGTGTGAAAACCTACTGCCAGTCAGTGTAGACAATGCTGGACTCACTGGACCAGTTGTCTAACTCAGTATAAAGCAGCACCCTTTGTTCCTCCCCTAATCTTCTTTTCTCCAGGTGAAAATGTTCAGCTCCTTCAACCATTCTTCCCAGAACTTGGTTTCCAGACCCATCACCATCCCAGCCACCCTCCTCTGGACTCTCCCAAGTTCCTCAATGACCTTATTAAAATGTGGTGACCAGAACTGGATGCAGTACTCTAGATGCAGCCTGTCCAGCTCAGAATCAGGTGCAATTATTACTTCCCAAGATCCGGACACAAGATCTGGGTGACAGATGCATTGATACCCCTTTGGAACTGCACCCCATCCTTCCTTATATGACCCAGCTTGTCAGGAGCTCTAAGCTGTCATGTCCTACTGTGAAGGATTAGGGCTTTGGGGTATTTTATATTGTGTTTTAGGTTGTAAAATTCAAGTTGTAAAATGCTTGCTTTTTGCTTTAAAGGCTTACTTGCACAGGAGGGTCAAAGGTTCACAGGAAGGTTAAAAGTACAGGAGGGGTGGTTTGGCACAGCCAAACCATTCTGCCCAATATTGAGAGTGATCCAGTTAAGTCCAGCAGGTTATTTAGTGGAGATAGCCAGAGAATAATCAATATATCCACATGGTAGCAATGGTGAAGTGAAAAGGGAGGCGGGGTTGGTGTTCTTCCATTTCCTCTCACAAGGCAGGTTACAGCCCATGCCACCTCGCCTGCTTAGACCCTTCCTGGAGTCATGTGACTGGCCTCTGGGCAAAACAGAACAGCAGACCAGATAGATCATTGGTCTGGGCCAGCAGTGCTCCTCTTAAGTTCTGTATGTCTCACCTTGGTTGATCAGGTTGAGGAGGAGACGGATGAGCAGGATGCCCAGGCCCCAGGACACCATTCCTACCTGCTGTCACTCTGGAAGTAAGAATCAGGGTCTTGGGGTCTTGTAAACCTGCAAGCGATCATCACAGAGATGGTTGTGAGAGATGAAGGTAAGGGATGGTGATGCAGCCATTGGCACCCTTACCCTCATGTGAGCGGATGTGGATTCCGTTAGACTTAAATATGAAGGAGAAAAATACTTTTTAAGAACATAAGGAGATCATCTGGGAGATCATCATTGTGCTGGATCATCCAGTCAGTGATGCACGTAGGTAATTTAAGGCTCTGTACTTAATGGTCTAGCAGCAGAGGTGGGCTCTTTAGAGAGTGATGTATACTCTTGCTTTACTTACTTCAAAATGTGGTTTTGCTGCATTTGGGTGCCTTCCTGCTCATTCCACAGAGCAAGGCCCTGGTCTCCTGCCCCCAAAGTCCTTCCCTAACAGCACCACTGCATCTAGTCCTAAAAATATAGAGAGATCCCGGCTGGATCAAAACAAAGATCACCTAGTTTTGCACCCTGTTTCCCATAGTGGCTGCCCAGGTGCCTCTGAAATGCCCATCCATCAACTGGTACCCAGAGGCATAATGCCTATGATAATGGAGGTAATATACAGCCCTCGCGACTAGCAGCCATTGATAGCCTCATCCTCCACGAATTTATCTAATTGAAGTCAATGAGCTACATCACAGGTTAGTGGACTCCATGGCTCAAATGTGCATTGTGCTTCCAGAATTCAGCTTCAGTGCATGGCCCTGGATTCTAGTATCATGACAGAGGGGAGGAAACTTCTCTCCGTCCATTTCTCCACATCACACAATGGGCCAGGGGTCAGCTTCACCTGCTGAACAGCAGCCTGAAGGGGAGAAGCTGGAATGGCTCCACCTGCAACTGATCAGCCTTCAAGGACATGGAGAAGAAGGGTACTGATGAGAAACAGCTGGCTTCAGCCTTCTTAAACAGAGCTCTCAGCAGCACTCAGATGCTGGAAACAATGCCTGTGGTTCCAGGCCCTACCTTGCTGCTTCTTCCTCTACATCTGGACCCTTGACTCTGTGATCACTTGGATTCCCTGACCTCAGGGCTGTTCGACTTCCTATGTGGATTCTGCTCTCAGGCAAGTGTTCCTTAGAGACTCCTAGCCCCAGCTTGCTCAGCAATGGGACTCGATGGGGCCACAACAGCCATTGGTGACCCTGGTTTTTTGTTAAATTACTCCCATCAGTTTTCTTTTTTCCCAAACTTAAAAGTCTCAAACGTTTAGCTTTCACTGTTGGGAAAGTATCAATAACTGGTTTTATTGAGAATTTTGGCATTTTAGTTCATAGCTTTTTGGGGACGCGGGTGGCGCTGTGGGTAAAAGCCTCAGCGCCTAGGGCTTGCCGATCGAAAGGTCGGCGGTTCGAATCCCCGTGGCGGGGTGCGCTCCCGCTGCTCGGTCCCAGCGCCTGCCAACCTAGCAGTTCGAAAGCACTCCCGGGTGCAAGTAGATAAATAGGGACCGCTTACTAGCGGGAAGGTAAATGGCGTTTCCGTGTGCGGCTCTGGCTCGCCAGAGCAGCGATGTCACGCTGGCCACGTGACCCGGAAGTGTCTCTGGACAGCGCTGGCCCCCGGCCTCTTGAGTGAGATGGGCGCACAACCCTAGAGTCTGTCAAGACTGGCCCGTATGGGCAGGGTACCTTAGTTCATAGCTTTAGAGGTGCTGTTGTATCTTTTTACAAAGAAGTGGTATATAAATGTTGATCAGCCATTAAAGCTTTTTTTCTTCTTCTTTGCAATGCCCAGCCATCAGATCTCCTTCTGCCCTCTCCAGAGCAACAGCGAACATCTGTTCCAACTTCTACCCATCCAACAGTCAGAAGACAGCTATCATGTCTCCCTTTAATCTTCTCTTCCCCAAGCTAAACAATTATTTATTTATCTTACTGAACAAGATTTATATCCTGCTTGGTTGTAGGAAACCCTCTAAGAGGTTACAATAAATATTAAAAATAAAAACATTGAAAAACAATTAAACTCAGCAGCATAAAAGATTAAGACATATCAACATCTGCATGTCTAGACAGGCTTGCCTAAACGAAAATGTTTTTCAGCAGGGACTGAAATTGTAGAGTGAATGCACCTGCCTGGTGTCAACAGACAGGGAGTTCCAAAGTATAGATACTGCCACATTAAAATTTCTTACAGCTGCAGAGTGAGTGTCAAGTGATGCCTGTAACCTTGTCCAGTTTGCTATATTGAAGCAGCCAGGTGGGTTTATATGGGGTAAGGCAAGTAAACTGGTCCCCGGCTGTTAAGCAAGTCAACATGCCCAGGTCCTTCCTCAATTCATAGGGATTTGGTTTCCATACCCAGCAGCTATCCTGATTCCCCTCCCTGGAAACTCTAAAGTGCTCTTAAAATGTAATGAACTGGATGCAATACTCTAGGTTCAGCCTGGCCAGCAAAGAAGAGAGCAGAACTTTTACTTTTTGCAGACTGGACATTAATGAAAGCATCTCTCTCTCTCTCTCTCTCTCTCTCTCTCTCTCTCTCTCTCTCTCACACACACACACACACACACACACACACACACCATGATCTTACCTTGCTCCAAGTGCCCAGTGTCCAGAGATTGACTCTTCTGAGCCTCTCCTGAAGTAGAACTGCCAAGTCAGTGAGATGGCTGAGATGCCAGCGCTGGTCCCTCCTCCACAGCTGCCTGCTAAGGAACCTGCCCACTTCCATAGCTTACAAGCACCTAAGGAAAAATAAGCAGAGGCAAGGAATCCACTCCATTCTCCATGGAGGAGGCCTGGGAGGTGGCAGTGCTGACTCCACAATTTGGGTGGGTTCCATAGAATCCTGACGATGGGGGAGCCTTAAACTGGAATAAGCAGGGCATGTGAAATGAATTTCCTGATCTTCTTGAATACTTTGTGAAAAATGGAAAACGATAACACAAAATGGAAACGATGGCACTACATACCAGAAGACCCTGATATTGGAGGCTGGGAATCTCTTTCTAACCTATTTTCCAGAGGCAACATTGGCTGAATATACACACCACAAAAGGTGACCCATCTTTTGAACTTTTAACTCTTGGGAGGAGACAATACATTACCTCTCTGCAGTCTAAATTAGCCATTTTTCCTAGTAGGTTGGGGCTGTACCAAAGGGGCAGTAATTTCTGATCACATGAAGATCTTGCATTACCCAAACAGCATCTTCAGCTCCTTTGTTGTTGTTGTTGTTGTTTAGTCGTTTAGTTGTGTCCAACTCTTTGGACCAGAGCACGCCAGGCACTCCTGTCTTCCACTGCCTCCCGCAGTTTGGTCAAACTCATGCTGGTAGCTTCGAGAACACTATCTAACCATCTCATCCTCTGTCGTCCCCTTCTCCTTGTGCCCTCCATCTTTCCCAACATCAGGGTCTTTTCCAGGGAGTCTTCTCTTCTCATGAGGTGGCCAAAGTATTGGAGCCTCAGCTTCAGGGTCTGTCCTTCCAGTGAGCACTCAGGGCTGATTTCCTTTAAGAATGGATAGGTTTGATCTTCTTGCAGTCCATGGGACTCTCAAGAGTCTCCTCCAGCACCATAATTCAAAAGCATCAATTCTTCAGCGATCAGCCTTCTAAATTTATGGTCCAGCTCTCACTTCCATACATCACTACTGGGAAAACCATAGCTTTAACTATACGGACCTTTCAGCTCCTTTACCAGGATGTTATTATCTTTCTGCTTGCAGCAACTAAAAGTAATGCTCTCTCACTTTCACATGAATAGGTGCGATGATCACAGATCTTTAAAAGTTCAAGGGTTTGTTGTGTGAATACCTGGGCACATTCAAGTCCACCCAAAGTCAGGCCAGCTCTTACCAGCAGAGGGCAGCAGCATCACACACACTCTGCGACAAGGAGGGTGCTCAGCACCCTGGAAACAGCAAGCCTGTTTAGGGACGAGGCAAGTTCTGCAAACATGGTCAAAGTCAAAAGGACAGAGGAAGCCACCGGCATCTGTGAAAGTTACTGAAGCAAAGGTAAAAGGGACAATCTGATTTGGGGACTGCCATCCAAAAACGTTTCGCCCTGATAAGTGACCACTAGCAACAGACACCTTGCCAGGGACAAAGGGTCCTGTTTTCCTTGGCAGCACCTGCACTGACCAGAGGCTGTGCGCGCAGAAATGCCCATTTGCATTGGGCGCGCCTTGGCGCAGATTGCCTGCACGCCCCACTCCGTGCTATCAGGCAGTGTGTGTGCCAGTTCACGACCAATGTATGCGATCTGCATTGCAGCACAGGCATAATCTCAGGTATAATAGCGATCGGAGCGGATTGCAGGAAGAGCAATGGCACCAGGTCATCCTGCAGCGCACCACATTAGTATGTCGGGCCATGCGCCTTGCTGCCGCTCTCGTTCACGTTGGACCTACAAGAGCCACTTGCAAAGGTGCTGGCCTTTGGCTTGTCATCCCAGGCTCCTCAGCCAAGTGTCCTCCGAGACAGCAGATTTGGCACTCGGCAGAAGGGACGTATATTTTACAGGGGTCTCTTGGCAGGTGGCCTTCAGTCACAGCACAGGAACACAGGAAGCTGCCTTACACAGAGTCAGATCAACAGAGCGGCCAGCCAAAGAGGAGAGTGGCTCTGGAGGAATAACCATACTGCTGCCTCCGAGCATCTGCCGCCTGAAGCAATTGCCTCGCTCTGCCCAATGATAGAGTTGGCCCTGCCTAGCTAAGCAGAGGTGGGCAATATAGCGAGCTGCCTTGTACAGACACCATCTAGCCCAGTTTTGTCTACCCTAACTGGCAACAGCCCTCCGGGATTTTAAGACAGACATTCCCAGCCCTACCTGGTATCGAACCTGGGACCTTCTGCATGTGAAGTGGATGCACTACCGCAGAGCCACAGCCCTCCCCTGCATGTCTTCAGCAGAATGCGAGCTGGTTTGTCCTCCAGCTGCATGGATTCTGACAGTTTGATGGCATCAGAGCACTCTGCGCGTGAGTTGGGCTTAGACAGAGACAGGGGTTTTCTAGCACGGTCCTTGCTCCTGCTTCAGCATAACTTATGGAAAAGCCTATGCACACAGACTATGGACCCTCATGGAGGCTTTGTATGCACCATCGGGAGGGGGCTGCCCTTTTCAGGGAGGGGTTGTGGGGGGTTTGTGCAGCCGCATGCTTTTACATGGACATCCTCCTTCAAAAGCTGAAAGCGCTCTTCTCTCTAGGCCCGCTGATCATTAATGAGTGGAGACGGTTTAGGCAGAAGGGAATATGCCCTGTTTCCAAAACCCTTTAGCAGAGCACACCAGCCATCCAGCTCCATAGAAGTCTTCAGGGATGCCTCAGTACATTTTGCTGCCCGAGGAGAAGAGCAAAAATGGTGCCTCCCTCCCCTCCAAACTCCAGGTACAGAAGTCAATCAGACTCACAGCTGATTCTGCTGGATCCTACTGGGATAGCTCAGTCAGTAAGGCATGAGACTCTTAATCTCAGGGTTGTGGGTTCGAGCCCCATGTGGGGCAAAAGATTCCTGCATTGCAGGGGGTTGGACTAGATGATCCTAGTGGGACCTTCCAATGCTACAATTCTGTAATTCTTATTTCAACTGTGGAGACGGGAGAGCATCCTCAACCACACAGGAGGGCAGCAGGCTAGCTTAGGGGGCACAGGGCAGGCTGGGTGGCAAACAGAGAGAGCCCTGTCCTCCAACAGAGGGGATGGATACAGGGCTTGGGGAGAGCGACCATTGCTCTCTGACACACACACAAGCATTTAATGCAGGAAACATTGTCAGAGCTCAAGGACACACATTCCATCCAGGCAAAAAGACTCAAGGCGGGTGCAAAAATCAGCACTAATGGTAGAGCCATCTCTGCCCTGTTGCCATTCCTTGCTCTGCAGTCTCAAATAGTGAATTGTCCATCATGGGAAGAGGAGTGGAAAGGGGATGGTCTGTTGCAACGACCCTGGTGGCTTCCTGGTGTGTAGGTAGGCCTACACTCGAGTAGGACCCTGGCAGACACACATGCCCGACTGGTATGTTCTCTCCCTCCTGGTCATTCGTTCAGGAGCTTCAAAAGCTGTTTTCAGCCCGAACATCACAGCGACGGATGCCAACCGACACCTGCACACTTAGGGATCCGCAGAGTTTGCACATCATGTGTGACAGACCTCAGCATTTTGACTGATCTACTTTATTTACATATAAACACACATGGAGCACTGCAACATGGCTCCCTCTCTCTCTAGCAAAGAGAATGAACAAAGGACAATTTCCCACTTCACGGAACACAGTAACACAAACATCCTGTCTCCATCACTTCCCACTTTGTGGAGTCAAAACATATACCTTCATGTGATAGACAATCCTATGACTGCAATCATGGAGCAGGAATTCTAACAGGAAGAAGGTTATGTTCCATCCTGCACAGGCACATCATAGAATTCTACAGTTGGAAGGGACCCTGAGGGCCATCTAGTCCAACCCCTGCAATGCTGGAATCCTGCCCCCAGCCATCCCTGGGTGGGCTCGAACCACCAACCTTTTGGTTACTAACCAGGTGCACTGACCCATTGCCACCAGCTTAGGGACTCCAATGATGTGCTTTGATTTTTCTCCCTCCTCAAATAAGACTGAATAGCATCCATTAACAACTCACACAGCAGGCAGTGAAAAGCTGCACTCTAGAACCTTTGAAGGATAAGAGCTAAACCAGCTCCCCACCCCCAATGACCACAATTTCCTGGGGGTGGGGGTGAGGAGTAAAGAGCTTGCCATTAGACCAAGAGCCCAGTCTGTTGCCATTCGTATTACAGTACTTAAGGAGGAGGCCTCAGCCATGAGAACTGATCTTGTTGCTATCTGCCTTGCTAAACACCTCCATCAGTTTGCACCTTGGGCTTGTTTACTCGTGAAAGAAACATGAGCCAGCTGTGTGATGCAGCTGCTTAAAAAGCTAATGCAATCATAGGCTGCCTACTCAGAATCCCAGAGTACCAGACTGCAAACCCAAGTTGCACACTGCTTAAAACTGGTGCCCAGAAATGGACACTGTATTCCAGAGGTGGCCTGACCAACACAGAACAGAGCAGAACCTTAAACTCTTGCCACACATTAGTCATCTCTAGGGCATAAAGCAGAGGTTTTCAACCTTTTGGGGTCCATGGCTCCCTTGATCAACTATGTTCTTTCTGTGGGGCTCAGGAGCCCAGTTATGTCACCCCTTTCCTGCAGAGCTGGCAGCCCCTCACCCCTTTTTGAACCTTCCCTTGTGGAGTGTTCCCTCAGCCGCCTCTCCTCTCCCCTCTCCTTGGGAGTCCTCTGAGCACCTGGTCTCTGAGCTGCCTCCCTGCCCCAGAGAGAGGTGCCTCCTCACGCTGCCCCACAGGGGCCTGAGAAGCACCCCCTGGCCAGCACCAGAGACACCGTTCACCTAGGGAGCTTGTAGCAGGGGCTGCTGCAACAGACAGTTGTGCAAGCCTTTGGGAGGCAGAGACGCGAGAGGGCATCAGAGGAGGGAGGGAAGAACAGAGGGAGAGGTCAGTGTGGCCGGCGGCACCCCAGACCATCATTCTAGGCACCCCAGGGTGTCCACGGCACACTGGTTGAAAAACTCTGGCATAAAGTGTGGGGTGGGAAGCCTGCGGCCCAGGAGCCAAACGCAGCCATCCTATTTGGTTATTGGGACTCTCCCCAGCCTACAACAATTCCTCAGCC